TCATCCGCTGAAAAAAAATCGTTAATTTTGCCGAAAAAATCAGGAAAATCCACAGATTTAGATGGAAATTTGCCGTTTTCCACCTCGCCGGAGCGGCGGCGGCCTCGCGGTTTCTATAAAAATCAGATTGTTTGGGTTTAAAAAGAGGCGGAAATTGAATCGGGGGTGAAACGGGGAGTTCGCAAACGAACCCGCCTCGTTACCGTTCCCCCGCCCCGCGGCGGAGCTCCACGTGTCGCGTGCGACGCCGCGTAAACACGCGGTTGTCGGCAGCGGAGAGATCCTAAATCGGCTGGAAAAGGGGGTTTAAAACCGGTTTTAAAACCTCGGGGGCGGCAGCTCCTGTCGGTGACGGAAACGGCTGCAAAAAAAAATTAAAAAAAAAAAACCAACCCCAAAAATTAAAAATTAAAAATTACGGTCAGGTTTTCACCAAGCACGGCAAAACTCGGGTTCAACGGCCGCGGGTTAATTAATAACAGTCGAGTCAAAACCGTTACGAGGGCAAAGAACTAATTGGCGAGAGGTCGGGTTTCTCCTGCGAACCCCTGGAAACAAAACCTCTCGCTTTGTGCGGTATTCGATAATTAAAAGAGAAAATTATCGCCCCAATTCGTAAATCCGAGCAGAAATTCAGCGTTTTCGCCCTCTTCCGAGCTCTAGGAACTGAAAAACTTCCCGCCTCGATCGTTAGCGAGAAGTAAAATTGTAATTAAGCGTTACGCCGGCAACGCTTTCGCTTCGACCCCACTGCCGCACGTAGGCGTCTCGGGCTGCGCCGCCGCCAGAAATCGCTCAGAAAAAGGTTTTTCCCCCTGATAAATCGTATAAAAACCGCCGTGAGAACGGCTCGCTCCCCGCCATAGGCGCGCATTAACGGCTCGCGCCACGATTTGGACGCGCTTTTCGTCTCCCAGTTACCTCCGACGCTTCCCGGCTTCGACCCAAACCAGAGAAAAGTAATTAGAATAAATTAATTTTCTATAAACAGGCGGAAACTGCGGGTTGAACTTTTTTCCCTGATTATACTTGGAAATAGGTTTCTTAAGGGAAAAAAAAAAAAAAAAAGGATTTTGGAGGATTTGGGGGGCTTTTGAGGTTTGTTTTGGTTTTTTCCCCCCCTCGTAACGCAGCTCGGAAAATGAAACCATTTCCTATTTCCGCACCGGTTGTAACTTCAACGCCTGATTTTAC